GGGCTGGCTCTTTAGGAACTGCCTTCTGCATTGTGCAAGTCCTTCCAACGGCAGCCCTGGAGGAGCTTCCCATGTGTGCTTCCTGGAGCACAGCCACTCGGACACTGAAAACAGCTGATTGACTGCTTCCTGTATGAGGCAACCAGGCTGGGGGGCAGAGACTCAGACCTAGAGCCCAGTGTTAGTCATCTGGGAGGGATTGCTCAGGGTCTGCCGCAGGTGAAGTGACCACCTCTATGCTATGAGGCAAGCTACAGACACAAAGTTTCTATAGGAAATCTCCACCACTACTGGAGAGCTTCTATGGATGGACAGTGGTTGAGCCCCAGCAAAGCAGAATGAAACAGAAAAGTTCCAGAGAGTCACAGATAGTCACAGATGGCACCAAGATGGTGATGGAAACCTGGAGGCAGTCAAAGGGAACAGAAAGTGGCTCAGGGAAAGCAACTTGGAGAAGCAGAGAGAAAATAACAGAAAGGAGAGCAAGGGGAAAAGGCCACAACAGATCAGAATGAGTCAGAGGAGGCATGGAAAAAAGGAGGTGGAGAAAAATGAGCACTTTGGAAAGTAAGAAAAATAAATAAATCTGTAAGGCTGAAGAAAGTTTCTGATGACTGAGTATCAGAGCAGGACCAGGCGCTACATGTAGGCACAATATGCACAGTGACACTGCAAGAGTACCCGAGCATCTGTTCTGATGACAAAGGCAACAAAACAGTGGCAGAGGAGGATTGCCAGAAACCACCCTGCCACTCCAAGGGCAAAATAAACCCCAGCTTTGACAGGCTGCTAATGAGCTCTGCAGGCTTCCTGGTCCAATGCTTAAGGGGCTGATCCTGCCCACACTGAAGTCAGAAGCAAGTGTCTTGACTGTTGACTGCGCTGAAACTGGATCAAGTTCTGGGATAAATCTTAGATAAGAACCCACCAGAAGTAATATTTAGAGAAAACAGAAGGGGAACAAAAGAGTACTTTTCCAGGTTTATACTTTACTTCCAGTGTCTATTGGCCTGTTGCATTATTTTTAAATCTTTGATTCTAAGTTGGCTTCAAAGTCCATAGTGCTGCCTTTCTCATGAAGACTGATTTACATACAAAGCTTGTTTATTTTTCACATAGAAAAGACAGTTTAGCAACATGAGGCTGTGTTATAGCTCTGCTAAAAGTGAACTAGCCTGTGTTTTATTGTGATTCTCTTCTGTGCATTTGCCTAGAGCAAGGGATGGGCACGTTTCAGACACAAAATACTAGCAAGTTACTAGTAACATCACAGTGAATCATATTTAGTCACCCTGCAGGTATGCACATATTTAACCTTGTTTACCAGCTTACTAGAAGGATGTCCTGTGTTGTTGAATGTCCTTGGCCCTTAGCATCACAGCAAGCTCCAGATGCCAAGCGTGTACTTTGCCACGTGTTCTATTAGTTATCAAAGACAAGACCAGATTGTGTGAATGCCATATTCCCCCTGGGGACCTCCCCTCTTTTAGTATCAAGAAAGGGTAAGATGAACAGCCACTGCAGAAAACTATACTTCCCATTCTCTCCTCTGTAATCTCAAAGCACTCAGCAGCTCCAAGAAATAGAGAGGGAAAGCATTGTGGAAGTCAGTCCAAGGGAACAAAGGTGAAGAAAGGAATGGAGAGGATGGTTTGCTGTTGCTGAGCAAGGAAAGCAGCACACTCTTGCTCAGTATGAGCTGTTTGCTGAAGCCAGCAATAATGGTAACAACCAACGCTTTCTAATATTGCTGATGTTAAAAAAAAAAATAAATCTTCTTTTAAGAAGTTAATAACATCAAATAGCTCAAGCTTTCACTCCTCAACCATATCCCTTAAACGTAACGTACTGCAGCTTGACTGAGCTGTAGGATAATGCTTGTCCTTTTAATGCTCCTTAGGCAAATCTGTAGGGACTCTGGAGTCCTTCAATGCAATGCAAATTTCATTTGCAACATTTTACCACTTCCTCCAGATAAAAGGCACAGCTAATAATTACCTTCTTTCAGAAAGACCAAGATAAACACACACACATATACAAACTCACGTATGCATATACATTTGTACGTATATAAAAATACACACAAACATGTAAGACTGAACATACAAGGGTGTGCTTTTGTCAGGTGTTTTTGCTGGACTAAGTACATTGAGTTTCACTGTAGGCTCTAGGATGTCTGTTTTTAAACAGGACATTAAGAAACCATGCTTACCACATGAGTCTTGTAAAGGCCGGATACGGCTCATGCAATCTCTTCTTACATCCAAACTTTGCATCAATGTCACCTAGTTAAATGAGATTTTTACGTTTCAATTTTGTGAAGTTATACATGGCTGTGGCCGGTCGCTTTAACATGCTGGTGTGATGAAGTGTCCTCTGTGCAGAGAAACACACTCTGCAAAGTCATCTTCTTTAGAGCAGGAGCAGCGTAATTTTAAACAGAGTATTACTGACATTGTGAAGCAAACTGTGATTGCTTTGACACTGCTCCTGATTCTTATTCTGTCTCTGTTGCACAGTTAACCCAACCCCCTCATCAAGCTGAACAATCATGGTCTGCTTATATTGGGTTTCGATTTTTTAAATCCTGGACTGACGCTTTGCTCATTCCCAATTCTACTGAGGTCGGTACGCCTGCTCCTGAGATAAGGGTAAGTGAAGGTTGCTGGCTCCAGGTTGTAGGCAGGAATTGAGTGTTGCAGGCTGAGGATGCTTATGCTTTCCCAGCTCTTCATGCACTAAGGGTGTATGGGACTGTAAAGTAAAGCCAGTGAAAGGGACTATAATCCCATCTAGCTCCAACTGCATAAATGATGCCTTAGAGAGATGTGAAAACAGTTTAATATTTTTCAAAAGCTGTGGCAGGTCTTGAAACAGGAGAGAAACCACGCTCACTTGAAAGGGCACTGAGGAATGAGAATGGCTTTAGGATGCACAGGGGCTCCTGTGCCTAAGTGATGGGGAGGGAGCAAGCTGGGAGGGGCTAGAGGCCAGCACCAGCAAGGACTGTGTCCATCTGCAGCCAGACTCATAACACACCCTGGCACAGCTGCCAAGCTACTTCTCAGAGCCCAATAAAGCCAACAGGTAAAAGGACTACTGGCACCCTGAGAAGTCAAATTTTAGTCACAGTGACCCTGGCAGGTGCTGTGACCTGCAGGCCACAGGCAGGCTTACCTCAGACCTACCCAGAATCCTCAAAATCCAGGGCCCAGCTGCCAAGCGCACATAAAGGCCATTTTATTTAGAATTTACTGCCACTCAGCACTGTTAAAACTCAAGCTTGGAGTACTTTAGGTAGGGCACCTGCAAAGGATAATAATTTTTCACAATACTTGAGATCCCCGGTCAGCAACCTAGTTGAGTGAGACACTGCGTAAGAACAGTGTGGCCCGCACACAGCAGTGCTGGGGGTATGGGAGAGGGGTCTGCAGGAACAGCCAACGGACTCCCCCATTCCCAGGCTGTACCCAAGCTGGGAGAAGACAGCCCCCCCTCCATCACCCAGCCCCGCAAGCATACCCCACCGGAGCGGGCAGCCAGCGGCTGGCGGGGCCTCCGACACGCCGGCAGCCCTGCGCCCTTCCCAGCCGTCTGCAGAGGGCACTCGGGACCTGCGAGCAGCGGCGGCGGTGGCGGATCTCCCGGAGCCGGCGGGGCCGGGTGGCCACTCCCGGCTGAGAGAAGGTAAAAGTCCAGCGCCGGGAGACATCCGAAGAAGGCAAAGAGCGGGAAAGGTATGGGCAGTTTAGACGAAGCACCAGAAATAATCTTCCCCCCACCCCACCACCAGGGATCTGGCAGGACTGCAAGAAAATTACTTTTCTCACTGGGAACCCACGTCAGAAAATATCCTTGGAGGGTCAGCCTAGGGGGAGGTCTATGGATTCCCCCCCTCCGCAGGGCACAGAGCCAGCTGCCACACAGGTAGGGCCCCGAAATAAGCACCCGATAATATCAAAGGCAGACCCTCTGCAAAGGGGTCCCGCTAACAAGGTGAGACGCGAAACGAGCGCAGGGTTGAACTTCGCCAACCTCTCACAGAGGAAAACACATGAAATACCGGCCTCTCCCCTTTCCTATTCAATCATTAATGTGGTTACTGAAACCGGGGGGCTGGGGGGGGGGGGGGGGGGGGGGGAGGGAAGTGCTGCACACACATCCATTTTCAGATGAGCGGATGCTCCGCACCACTCTACACACTTGAAATATTTTCGAGCAAAACACGTAACTGTACCTAAAAAACACCCCACACAAATTAAAGCCAACCCCCAAGACAGCTTAACAGGTACATTCTGCTTCTGCTCAAAGAGACGTGAGAAGAGGCAACATCCCCCGAGTTGGGTTAATCCACTTCAGAAACGAAAACGGAAAACACGGTTCTAAACGCTGGTGTAATTCCCTGTTTCGCAGAAGTTATGCGAGGAATTATGCCAGCTCCCAGAGCTGCTCCGTCCGCTGCCAAGCGCCGCAGCCTTGCGTCTATTTTCCTCTCCTTGTGGCAAACAACATACCAACATGCAGAGATTTTTCAGCTACAGTCCTCCTGCCAACAACCCCCCCAGCCCTCCCTCGGGAAGCCTCGGGGAGGCCGGAGGCATCGGGGAGGGGCAGCGCGATCGGGGACCCTCAGCCCAGCTCGGGGCCACAAGTCGCCGCACAGCTGGGGACAGCGGCGGGGCTGGGGACTGCTTCCCGCCCGGCTCGCCTCCCGGGTTGCGGGGCTACCCTTCATTCCCCCCCCCCCCCCCCTCCCCCCATATTCACCAAAAACATTACAACAGAAATCAACGACTCGGGAGGAGTTTCCGACCGCAAAACGCAGCTTCTCTGTCCCCCCTTCCCGCCCCGTCCGGTCTGGTCCCGCCGCGGATCCGGCTCCTCACCCCCTTCCCCTCCGCCAGTGGGGACCGTCCTCCCGCCCGCCCTGCCACCGGCACCCCCGGGGAAGAGCCCGACCGCCCAGCAGCGAGAGTCCGACCAGCGGAGGATGCTCAAACCTTGGAGCAAGGGGGATCGGGACAGCTCGGGCCGGTCCTCGGGGAAGGAGTCAAGGAGCCGCTTGAAGAGGCGGCCGAGGTCGGAGTAGCTGCGGTGCAGGTAGAGGATGTTGCGGTCCGACCACTCGGTACGGATCTCGTAAAACTCCTCCTCGTCGCCCCGCCGGCTGATGATGAGCCGCCTGATGCCGTTCACCCAGCAGCCCCGCACGTACATGTTCACCAGCGAGGTGCCTTCAAACACGGCCGAGGCCATCCCGCCGCCTCCCGCGCATCCCCCGCAGCCGGCGGAGGGCGAAGCGCACCGCCCCGCGCCGCCGCGGCCAAGTTAACAGGAGGAGGAGGAAGAGGAGGAGGAGAAGAAGGAGGAGGAGGAAGGGAGAAGGGGGGTTCCACCCGCCGCCCGGCCCGGCTCTGCCCTGCCCGGCGGGGCTGTGCCACCACCCGGCGCTGGAGGGAGATGTCCCGCCGGCGCCTCACAGACGACAGCTCTCGGAGAAGGGCCGGCCCGGGCACCCCGGCCCCTGCTCCGCCTAGCCCCAGGCAGGGAGCGGAGCGGCTCTCACCCCTCCCGGGGCGGAGAGCGGGGTGGCCCGGCCCCTTCTTCCCCTTCAAATCGGGGGGAGCGCGGCTGCCCGCGGCCACTTAACTACCCCTCCCCGGTCCCGGTCGCGGCCCAGGCGCCACCGCCCACCCCTTGCGACAAACACACGTTGTCCCCGTTGCGGGATCCTCCTCTTCCTTCTCGGGACGATTTCGCAGACGCCGCAGACATCACGAGGACATTTTTTCTCCTCCCAGTGGCCCCTCAAGTGTTTTTTTTAATTTTTTTTTTTTTAAATAAATTTAAAAACTTCCATCCGGGCCCGCCGAGGGAGGAAAAGGGGGAACTTGCTTACAACGTCTGCGAGGTTGTCAGCCCCCAGCAGCGCCCCACGGTTGAAGAGCGTCCCTCTGTGCCCCGGGAAACCTAAACCGAGACCCCAGCAGCCAAGACCTCGGCATCTCTGGGGAGAGGGAGGTGCACTGAGGAGAGGAAAAGCAGGAGGAAGGGAGTACACCGCTGGTGCCTGGGACTTCTTCGGCCTTTTCTTAATAGTCTGGTGGGACGCCATCCCTGAGGGAACCTCCAGCAGCATCTCATACGGAGGGTGATGGGGAGGTCTGCACTTGGGAATGCAGCCTCCTCTTCCAATGGGATCCCAAACTGTCCTAATGCACAGAGAGTAGGGCACTGGGAGAGCCGGCGGGGGCTGCACTGGTTATTTGGCAAAATAAAAAATGCATTGTAAAGCAAGGAAGCCTGTGGGAGGTACCTGGATACCTGAAAACGCCTAGGAGCTGCAGGGTTAAAATATACATACTGAAGGTGAACTGAATGACAGTGCGGTGATGTGGGATGCATCATCTCGGACTGGCCTTTGCTTGAAGGCTGTGGCCTCTCGCAGTGGGCTTTCTGCTGCAGGGGGGGCTTGGCATGGCAGAGGGAGGCCACTTCCCAGGGTCATGCCATGTCCCAGGGCAGGAGAGACCCCTCCTGTTTGTATAATTTGGGAAGGTCAGAGGTCATCACACTCACATTACATATTATCAAATTTAAGCCAGTTTTCGCCAGCGTGACATCTGGGGCTCAGGAGGCTGGGAATTCGCATGGTAACAACCCAGGTGCTGTTTAACTGCTCAGAAAAATCAGCAGAGCCAAGAGACAAAACCATGTGCATATGAGCCAAAACACGGGGCTTGGAGAACACTGCAGCTGGATTGGCTTGGGACAGTACAAATAAGCATGGCGAGGAGAGGCAAAGAGGTGAAAGATACTTAACAGTTTTCTGTAAAGTGCATAATTAAATAACTAAATCATACTCTTCAGTAGATAGCATGCTGCTAGCAGCTGCCTACATCACCCAGATGATACATGCCTCCATGGTAAACCAACTCCAAACCAACAACTGCAGTGATGTCCCAATCTCCCTATTCAAATACATAATTGTATATTTTCTTGATTTAACTTCTACGTAACAAAACTGGTTTTAATTCATTCTGAAGGACATCATATTCTTTACATATGACTCCTTCAGAGTGATCTGAGCCTCATCTCTCCAAACAAGAAGACACATGCCTGTTTACCGCAGCTTCACTCTGCAGCACCTGCAGACATTTCTTTAGAGAAATCTGCATTTTTCAAAACAGGACAGGTGACAGTCAGGATGTTGGAGTGGATCCTGGGGCACTCAGCACCAAATCCTACCAAACCAACTTCACTGAGAACAGCACTGGGCTCAGAGCTGCTATACACAACCAAATAAAGTGAACAACATGAAGGCATGTGCTTTCCAAGGAGAGCTGTGTACCCCTGCCCTGGGCAAAGCAGAGGCCCATCCACTTCACCTTGGATTGCCACACAAAGGGTTTTCACACCACTGTTGGGCCAGGCATCTCCTGAGTACCCCATGTTAGCTGGTCAGAGTATTCAGTGTGGTTACACAGGAAAGGAATTGTTATGAACCTTTGTACTGTAGGAAGATCTCCTTTTGTTCAGGGCGGGCTTTTGTAATCCCTCCTCTTGTTCCAGTACACAGCACTGCACCAGCTACTAGGAAGAAAAATATCCATTACAGCTGAAACCAGGACAGTAGGTCTTCCCAGCTCTTCCATGTAAAAACAAAACAAGAAAATAAAATGCCTTCTCTTCTGACAGTTGCTGTGGTAACTCGAAATAGCCACATACCCTAAGGAAGTGAAATTTCTAGGAAGAGAACTTCAAGAGTAACCCCCTTTTTATTTATGATGTCAGCCTTGCATTGCTTCTATTTAAGCAAGGAAAGCATTTGACTTCTGCTCCTTCTGACTGGTATTTTCTGCCTTTGCAATAGAAATTTTGCCAGCTTGCTCACAAACTATGTGCCACTCGATAGACCTCCAAGGCTTTCAGCACCTTCTCAGAGCTCTGGCTCCAGCTGGATTCTGCAAGATCTTGATTGGAGATCCCCAGCATCTGTTGGGCTAAGGGTGGTGTACACCAGCCTGTAGGTTTGAGCATTAAATGTTTGGTTCAATTTTAATGTTTGTTTGACTGGTGCCAAGCTTCCAACTTAATTAAAATACTCAAATCATGCAAGACCCTGTGTGCCTGCTCATGGAAAATTAGCCTATGCTGAAAATTCTACTTCTCAAGGGCTTGAAGCTGACATACTGATGCCAGATCCTGATTTTTAGGAGTATGAAAGGTCAAAGTACTCCTATGCCTAATGCTGCACACAGAGGATCAGTTTGTTGTTCTTCTCTGAGTATGATCCTGTTCCAGGAAAAAAGAATCTTAAACCAGTAAGTACAGAAGTACAAAATTCTCATTTTGGAGTGAAAATTAAAACTTTTCACTTGCACAGCTTTAAATCCTGCCACTGAGTAGGCCACCTGTAGCCCGGGGGCAAGTCAGTAGCCCACAACAGTTTAATCTTGTTTTCAGTGCAATTTAATCTCATTCTCATACTCCCACTGCTCAGGTATGCTCCTGAGCGTCCTTATTCCAGCAATGTAATGCCAGCCAGCCATTAAATTTGGGCACAAATCTGTTCATGAAAGTTGGGTTAGTAATAATCATCTGTTACTGTGTGGCTCCAGAAAAGTCTTGTCAGAAAATAAATGTTTGTATTAGCCCAGTGGTGTGCGAGGATGGTGGTGGGACTTACAAGATTATCTGCAGTGTGTAATGTGAAACGGATGTGCAGGAAGGATGGATAGTCCCAAAGGACATCAACATCTTCTAGTACCTTTCATTATCAGCGCATTATATTGTTGCTCTACAAATTGTATCTGTTGTGCCCTTTTAAAAGTACACAGAGGGTGGGCATTTGCATTTGACAGGTTTTTCATGTGTATGCAGCATGGGAAGAGGCACTGTGCAGCAGCTGCTCTTCAGCAGAAAATAGGAAACATGCATCTGCCTTTCTTTAAAGAAAGGTTTTTATTGAAATACGTTTTAATCTTTCTTGTGTGACATGTAGGGTTACTACTTTCCATATTTAAGTTTTGAGACAAAAGTAATTAGTAGCAATTGCACCTTAGAGAATAAAGATGCTGACTGAGTATGCATTTTATCCCCTTGCACTTTTGTGATCTTACTGTCTCTTTGAAGTAATAAGATATTACAGGAATGCATGCATTTGCTTGGCCATTTATTAGTTTGAGTTCAACCTAACAATTTCCCAGTCTTGCATTTTACTTTCACGAACCAGTAAACAATATAATTCATTTAAAATAGAATCATAGAATCATAGAATAGTTAGGGTTGGAAAGGACCTTAAGATCATCTAGTTCCAACCCCCCTGCCATGGGCAGGGACACCTCATGCTAAATCATATCACCCAAGGCCTCGTCCAACCTGGTCTTGAACACTGCCAGGGATGGAACATTCACAACCTCCCTGGGCAACCTATTCCAGTGCCTCACCACCCTAACAGGAAAGAATCTCCTCCTTATATCCAACCTAAACTTCCCCTGTTTAAGTTTTAACCCATTACCCCTTGTCCTTTCACTACAGTCTAATGAAGAGTCCCTCCCCAGCATCCCTACATGCAGAATACCTACCATCTACTGTTAATCAGCTTGCTGAAGGGACTTGGACCCTCTGAAGGTTACTCTGTCCGAAAGTTCACTCTCAAGTCTTCATCTGATGCAAACACAATGAAAGTGATGCAGTAAAATTGCCTGAATTTGAGTAGAGGCCATGGCCAAAGCACGAGGTTTAAGAAGCCTAAGGGCAGGTAGCCCTTGCCTCTTAAATTTGTGATGTGAACCATGGCTAGAAACACAGATAAAGTCTAATGAGCCGGTGGCTCTAATCTTGTGCTGCGCTGTGACATGTAAGCCCTGTTTTTTTCAGGTTTCTTCATTGGTGTAGTGGAAATTATAAGGGATCCTTGCCTTCTGTCACATAAAAACAGGCTATGAAGACTTCTGAAAGCTATTTCCATACTACCTATCCGTTTTCTTCATGTGTCCTACGTCTGTCCACTGTAGCACGTTGTTTCACCCTCAACAGTTACAATCCCCAACAATTCTTGTCTCCCAGACTGCATCTGTATTTGGGAGGGACTTCATCTAAATGGCTCATATCTCTCCCTATTATTGTTTGGAAGTCATTTTAGAGCTCCCTTTTGCCATTATGCCTTCAACCCCCTTAGGAGAGAGGCATGATGATTCACCCTCTTCCTGTCCACATCCATGAACTTTGCAGGGTAGGAAGAGGCTTTTGTACTAAAGTTGTAGTTGAAGTCTTCATTTTTGTCAATAGGCTTTTTAGTAGGTAACAAGGAGTATCCACTAGTGCAAACAAGGGTCACTAAAGTAGTTTTCATCTTGCTGAAAAATAGACAGTATCTTTTGTAAGCGGAACCAGTGAAGCTGTAAGGTTTCACTGCTTCAGTTTAGATCATTAACTTATTTAAAGGAAATAGATTATTGGAATAGTAGCAGCCACTAACCAGTCGACATACATCTCCACCTGAAACAGAGGGGAGAGGTGTTGCATAATCTCTTTGGGGCAGGAAGACCTAAAGGTGATGGCTGTCATGGAAGAGCCAAGTTGGAGCTTAAGAACAGAGGCAGGCTTTATCTGAAGGCAAT